GTTCATGGGCATATAATTACAAAGTCACGCGAAGTTAAAGTCACGCAAGACGGAAGAAACAATGACAGCCAAGCTGTCCTTAATAAGCTTAAAGCGTTGTTTACAACGTAGCGACAAACCGACGATGACTGTCAGATCTGTTGACTGAAAGGTTTTGCAAACTTGGATCAACAAAAAATAAGCAGCAAACAATCTCTCACTCCTCACGTCAATTAGAAAGCAAAACAGAAACGACATAACAAAAGAAAGTTAAAACTTAAGAGTGAATAAATATAGACATTTACCCAATACCACATTTCCCTTTGTAACACAAAGAAAGTGTGAAGGGAATTGTTTTGGTCTTGTTTTCGGGAGATATAAGTCATGTTCCAAGTTAGTAGTTTCGTTTCTTTATTTGTTATTCTAACTCTTTGAGTCGAGGGCGGGGAGAAAGGTGTCTGGTTTTAATAATGCTTTACCCTGGAGCCCAGCAATAAGCATGAGAGCTTTGAAGGTAAGCGAGACTCATTTCAGCTGTCTACCACAGTGCGATAAGTTATTGACGGAGTAGAGGCGGTATTACAGTAAATTGGACATTCTTTTTTAGTTTTACATTGGACGCAGGAAACGAGAGGGGAAATTCTCCACTTTTAAATACATGGTTGATCTGGAACCGTTTTCATTTGAACCTCTCTGTCCTCTCTTGTTCTTAAGAATTGTTTTTGCTCTTCATCTATTGTTTGGCTTGGCATCGTAAACGGTGAAGGTCGGCCCTAAATAAGAAGAACGCTTATTGTTGTTTAATTGTTAGTCTATAAGCGACTAGTTTGACACATGTTTTTTGTTTTTTTTTCCTTTTTCCGGAAATTGATTTTCTATCTTACTATAAATAAATACTGTAGTACTTGAGACCACTACAACCAACGTTGGCATAGCAATAAAAAAGCCATTTAGATTTTCTGAAGTTTGTTTTTCAGTATGTCGTTTACTGATCCTGGTCTTCTTAGAAACCCAAATCCTTATTTTTTTTCATTTTTTATCTCATTTTTTTAAT